CAAAGAACCTATATCCCGAAAATGAAAGTTATATATGCCAACAATAAGTTGCTAGAGCACTTTAAAGGCTCAAAATTGACCCCAAAATAAGGCAATGTTTACCGTTGTTTTTACGACAGAAACCGAATTGGTTATTTACAAAAATGAATCTGTCGACAGGTTTGGAATTTTATCTTTGAAACGCCACACTTTTCTTTGAAATCGCTTTATTAGTTCTCGTGCAATAAGCGTTTTTGTGAAGCTCTAAAAATTACAACTACAACCTTTGAACATAGCCCCCATACCTTAAGGTAAGACGTATTCTACGTCAAAAAAAAAAATGTTGTGCGGTTTTTTTGCACAAAACAATTCATAGGACTCCCATCCAATTAATGGAAATATTTTTTTAGTCATGATTATATATGTACATTAACTAAAAACTACTGTTATACTTATTGTTGTATGAATTGCGTTCAATCTGTACGATCCACAAGCAGTTAAATTTCCCTCTCTGAATTTTGAGTTAGCTCTCTTTAGATCTACATAGGTGTGCGATATGGGAAACATGGTTCGGTGAATAGGATGCGCAAAGCATTTCTGAAGCGAATCATTATTTCGCTCGATTCGGGGGAAATTTGTTAAACTTTTGAAAAGTCCATCTCTTACAATGTACTTGTACTTATGTACGTGCTTGGATGAATTTGCAGTCATTTTTTTCTATCGATTTGATATCATCACCGTCAGGTTCGCTTCTCGATCATTGGGTGATGTAAGAAGTTCCTCCGTTCGTAATTCGTGAAAATAATAGTTAAATACAAAGGTGCCGTCAAAAATTTGTTGTCATAGAAAACTCTAAGAAAGTTTCTTTATAAATGCTGAAAACTTAAAACAACGAAACAAGCAAATTTATATATTAACATAAATTCTAATGATGTGTAAATGGATGTACGTGTGTATATCGTCACGTGAAATTCAAAAAGACGTAACAAACATCATCGTTGAAATGCAAAAAGTCATAACTAATAAAAAATTCAAAATTCACTTTTCCATTTATATGATGGATTTCATCGAATTACAATACAACTCCCAACATCATTTTATGACAAAAAAAATTAAAATATTAATTACGACTTTTTCCATTTCATTTACGATGTTGTTACGTCTTTTTGCATTTCAGGTGACAATATGTACAATGGTTATACAAGAGAGTTTGTTACTTTTCTGGTTTAATAAACACAAGTAATTTTTAGCAAAAAAAACCGACTTCAATTCTCATATAAAAAAAAAAAATATATATATATATATACCTCATGATCCACTAATCGGATCTTAACCATACATAAAACGTACATAAAAAAAATAAAAAAAATATTCCGACGAACTGATAACCTTCCCCTTTTTGTGAAGTCGGTTAAAAATTTTCACAAGCTTTCTTTTCAAATAAAGCTCAGCTAGTTCTACAGAGATCAAAGCAAATAGTAGTCGGACGTGGCAAGCTTCAGGCTAATCGGCGGATACATACAAATTTGTTGCCTATAAAGTTTTTCTTTCTAGTATGTGGTCTTTGGTTTTGAGACTCCTGCGCCAAAGTAGAGAGTCAATGGTTTGCCCAGGCGCGAGTAACTCATGAGTACGGCTAGGAAAACTATTAATTTCAAAATACAAAACATGTTTATGTACTAAATTGTATGTTACTAAATTGACACATCGACAGTGGTTCAGAGGAATATTTGGAAAAAAATTATAGGTAATTTTTTGTCAAGAGATGTCGCACTAAATTTAAATGGTTTCAAACCAAACAAAGCATAAATATGCAAACATACAAAAATATACACTTAAGTCTAAATGCCGTTTTAAAGGAAATTTCGTGATTCGTAAAGATAACTTAACCATTTCTATTTGAAGATGCCCAAAAAAACATCCATTTGCATGAGATTCCTAGCCCTACTCATGATTAACCATTCTGTGTTTTGCCACAGTTTGCAAAGCTTTTCAGCGCGCAGGACACGAAATTTTTGGTAAAGTTTTGTCGATCCTCAAGCATTGGTTCCAAAAATGATGCCTATATGTTTTAGTTACCCCATAAAATTAACTAAAAATCACTTGCCATATTTGTTGTCGAAGCCAAAGCTTGATTGCTTCCCATTGGTGACGCATAACATTTTTTAGGTACTTTTGAATATGTTACGCATCACACTTTTGAATTAGTCACTCAGCGGCAGTTGTTTTCGTTAGAAGATGAATAAACACAAAAAGATAACAAATAGATATCAACAATAAGTAGCATACCGACTAATAAATTTTTTTTGCGGATGGCAAAACCTGGTGGAACGTTTAACCCTAGAAGTACATGCCTGCAGCCGGATGCTAAAATGCTAAAGCTTAAATTTTATCCGAATTTTTGGCGATCTCCGAAAATTGCAATTCTGTCCTCCCTGTCGCTAAAAATTGCCTAGCCTAAATTTTAGTACCTTATCCGGGCGCTTAGGAAAGTGGGCGTGGCGCTGGGGTGTAGCTCGTTTCCGTCCAACATCAAAAATTAAAAAAAAAAAATGGGCAGGCAATGGCAAACCTCCCAGTGTGTTTCTGCCATGAAAAACAGCTTCTCATAAAAATACAATCGCCGTTCGGAGTCGGCTTAAAATTGTAGGTGACTTCCCATCGTTTGACAACATCAGGGTGTCATTAATTTTCTCCGTATAAAATAATGTTATATGGAGAAAATGAACGACACCTTCAACAAAAAAATTTGCCAAAAATCATTGGTTAGTCCTAGCTTCCTCAGACTTGCAATTTATTATTGAATGGGATAAAAAACTCAATTATCATACTCAATTGTTTTCGAAAGAGTGTAATTAAAAAGTGCAATATTCTAATTGAAATTAATTAATCTTGTTTGGATTTTTTTTAATTGATAGCCATATATCCATATTTTGAGTAAATTTTTGGAAATATATTGCAATTTATGATCCCTTGGAAAAAATCCTGACTACCTGGTAAAAAACTAAAAACGCAGATTTACTAAATATTACGCCATAATACAGCAGGTGGTATAGTAATACCGCCATATATAGAAGTAAAATGAGTAAGTTACCAAAACACGCAAACTGCGCAAAAATTATTCTAATAACCTTGACTGCAAGTCGGCGCGCGGGTTACCGTGGTCCGAAATGCATAAAACTTTATTTGGATAGTTTTTAAGACAAAACCAATAAAATGAGGGGCTATGCGTAAAAAAAACAACTTTGGTTTTTTTGGGACAGTCCAACCCTAAATGATATGTTTATTTATTTATTTTCAATAATTTTCATTTAAAACATAATTCAATCTATAACAGAAACTACGTAAATACAAGTTTCAAAGTTTGCGCCAATTTCACAAAAATTAATCAAACTTCACAATCACAATTTCAACGAACGAATTTTTAGAAAGACTAAAAAGTAAATTAAAAATTATTCGTTATTCTTAATTACTTGAGTCATAAATTAAAATTTATTCCTCATCTGAAATTACTTGAATGGTAATAAAAATTGTATTCGTTATTTGAAATTTCTCGATGGCGAATGAAAGTTTAATCGTCATTCGAAATGATTCGCATGGGGAATAGAAACTTATTCGTCATTCAAACATATTTAGTAAAACTATGAATAAAATTTTATTTTTTATTTGAATAATAATACCGGCACACAAAACAAAAGTGATGTGTGCTTTTAACCAGAACCACCTGCCAACATGCATTTCTTCCTGATCAGTCCGAATCTGAAGTTTGATTGACTTCTACACCTCCAAAATTTCGAGTAAACTGCGAAAATTGCGAATTTTTCGCCATTTTTTCGGGCTTCGTAATTTACTCTACATTTTTACTTTATTATACTAAAATTTAAAATTTCTAAAAATACTGATTAAAAAAAGTTAAAAAAGTTGATGAAAATTCTTATAAGATTTTCACAAAGTATGAAATTTGGATTTAAATGGTATTTTTAAGTAAACTGCTATATTTTTATAGAAAAGAATAAACATTAAATTAGCTTATGAAAAATTGGCAAAACTTGCTAAAATTTCGCGTTCCAGTTTATAGTTGCTTAAAACAAATCATTAATATCGGCCCAGTATTTGAAGACTTTTCGGATTAGAAAAAAATTGTCTTTCAATTGTATGTATGTATATATTTATGTGACAAACTTCGACAAGAAAAATTTCGCCGAGTTAAGGCTACCCATTTCTAATAGATTTTGGGTCACTAAATTAAAAAAAAAAAAGGAAACATATATATGTATATAAATTTAAAGAAAACATTGCAAATAGCAATATCGGCTGAAAACTGCTAACTTTTTTTTGGCAAAGCGGCTAACAAATCGGCTGCCGGCTAAACTCAATTTTCTTCGGCTGTTTGCTTTCGCAACCGGCTATATATAGCCGGAAAACGGCTAAAATGGCAACACTGATACTGTGTATAATGTACCGTACATCCACGTATTGGTTGTTTGTATGTATGTATGATAAGAGTATAGCCTTCTTTAAAATGTTTGTATTACCTGTACATCGGCGTTTATTTCTCGTTATTTTTTTTTTATCTATGTCTTTCCAGTTAAAATAAGAAAACCAATGTACGAGCACAGCAGCTACAGAAATTACGAATAGTTTTTTAAACGAATTTTGTCGGCTACATCTAGTGCTGAAAAGGGTTTAATATTTTCCATTTCGGCGTAGTAAATCTTGGCAACATTGCACTACACTAAAATACACCGACAATCTCTCCAAAGAAGTGCGCACATGCAACAGAGCACCACCACCACCACCACAGTAGTTTAATACGCGCGGTCGCATATGGATTGTTGTGCGTCCATGTCCAGCATATGCCTAGACGTAGCCAATTTATCGGAATCAAGCGAGGAGCAGCAGCACCAACGGCGGAGTCTGATTATGCGGCCGACACCAAAGTTTGATTTAGCGCTGTCATGCAAAGCGACGACGTTTCTACTGATGGTACTGTTCAGCATCGGCTGGCTGGGCTATGCACGGGCGGAGCGTGACTTTAACTTTAACGACTCGCAGGTATGTTATAGTTCTCCGCAGTTTGCTGCATTTTCCACTAAATATATTTAAGGCCTAAATTTGATAAACCTTTACATACATACATGTACTGAAGCGTACGTACGTACATACGGATGTATAATGTATAACTACATACATACATACATATGTATGTATATGTAAGTACACATTGTTGGAATGTATGAATGAAGTCATTTGTTCTAATAAATGAATTTACAAGTGCATATCTCTCACCCGATTAGGACAAATGTTTGAGCAGTGAGTGCGGCCGCCGACTATACATACATATGTACATACATACATATCTATGTATACATATGTACTTAAGTAGGGACTCAAGTAGCACACTGGTGTATAAATTGGTGTAAATTTATGAATTTTGGTATAAATATGATTAATTGTACCGAAATTCACAAATTTACACCAAGTTATACACCAATGTGCTACTTGAGGAAATGGGGGCTAATAGCTTTGCCATTGCTTTTGTTTGTTTATTGTGTAAATTTCTGGCTGCAATCACCAAAGTTAAAACAAATAAAAATGCATCACACTCCGATTCCTCGAACCCTCCTCTGACGTGTTCACGCCACAAATAAAGATTCTCCTACTTATGTACATTAAATGCGTTTTCTTACATTCCCTCACGCACATGTGCGTATGTATATATGCATGTGGTATGCATGAATGTACATTAGGGTGGTCAAAAATAAGTAAAGTCGGTTTTATTTTCTTGCTCTCACCCCCTAGGATTGTTCTAAAACGAAAAAATATACACCTATTTTTTATTTTGAAATCAATAAATATTTAGAGGTCGCTCAAAGCGCTCAAACAACGACTTTTCGTAGAAATTATATAGAATTCTCGAAAATCAAAATATTTATTTAACCAGTTTTTAATGCTAATTTTTAATACCTTTGCATTTTCTGACGGTTTTGGCGGACCTATAAAATCTAGTTACTGTGCAGAAAGGGTTAAATAAATAATTGAGTATTATTATTGGGAATTATCTGAAGAGAACATGCTGATTCTATTTCAATTCATGTAGGGTGATTGGGTTCAAAACTCGAAATCAAGTTAAATACGACTTTTCATATTTTTTAGGACAAATAAAGAGACACGTATTTTTTGTTTTGCAAAAAAAAATCGCAGAGTTACGAGCATCTGAAAATTTAAGGCCAAAGTGTGGTTTTAGAGAAAAACGGCTGACAATTTTTTTTCAAATGTTTCTAGTTACCCAAAATACTGAGCCTTCTTATTTTCAGAAAAAAAATCTTACGACTTTCGAGGCGTTTTAGCGGGCATCAAACCTATTGGAAAAAGTTCTCTCTTTTATCTAGTCACCGCAAACAAATTTTCAAGAAAATTAAAAATTATGGTTTTGAGAAAATTGAGCCTTTTGATTTTTCCAAAAACGGCCGCCATTTTGTTAATTTTAGAAATTTTTCAAATTTTCAAGTATGCAAATATAGAGCATCAGAAACACTTCTACAATAAAAAACTAACTAACTAAACTAATAGAAAAATTTTGATTTTTAAAAGAACTAGAAAGATTTGAATAAAATGGTCAGCCGTTTTCCCCAAAACCACACTTTGCCCTAAAATTTCCAGATGCTCATAACACTGCGTATTTTTTTTTGCAAAACAAAAAAAAAAATACCTGTCTCTTTATTTGTCCTAAAATACATGAAAAGTCGTATTAAACTTGATTTTGAATTTCGAACCCATTCACCCTGTATGAGTTGAAAGAGAATCAGCCAATAGTGTTTCCGATCGAAAAATATTGATCTTCAAGAATTCTATAACATTTCTACGAAAAGTGGGTGTTTTCCATATAAAATACATGGACAACTTTGAACATTGTTTTCGGTATAGAACAATCCCAGGGGGTGAGAGCGTAAAAATTCCGACTTTACTTTTTCACAGGCGGCCGCTGTGGTGTAGTGGTAAGCAGTGCGCGCTTCTACTCCGCAGCGTCTGGGGGTGCAACCTCTAGTCAAAGCAACATCGCAAAAACATTTAGAAAAAAGTTGTTTCTTAACAGTGGTCGTCCCTCGGCAGGCAATGGCAAACCTTCGAGTGTATTTCTACCATGAAAAACAGTTTCTTATAAAAATACAATCGCCGTTCGGATCGGCGTAAAACTGTAGGTCCCTCCCGTTTGTGTGACAACATCAAGGCGCACGCCACAAATCGGAGGAGAAGCTCGGCCAAACACTAACATATGTGTAAGCGCCAAACTACTACTATTATTATTATTGTTATTACTTTTTCCACAAGCATTTTTGGACCACCCTAATGCACATGCTTAAGAAATTCATATGTATGTATGTACCTGAAAGTCTCTTAGTTTTTCGCTCTTTTCATGAGCATAGTTGGACTTCTTTCAATGCTTATCTGCAACATTATGCGGATGTAATCTTATCTCATGATTCCTTCTGTGACTTTTAGCATTGTCATTAACCATTAGCTGGAGTGTACGCAGTGCAGTGAAGCTGGCTGGCTATTTCGAAACAGGCCTCTTTCCCGCCAACGTAGTATTTACATCAATTTCAACACATTTTTGCGGGGCTGGCTGGTTAGAGAAACTAAACAGGCATACTAGTTATATACATATATTTACAGTTGTCCACAAAATAATAGGAGTGCGATGTTTTGGTAAGTTTTTGCAATTTATCTTTTGTTTATTTAATGTTTATTATTTTTTTTTTTGTAAAAGCCTAACTGGTAATACAACAAGCACGATCTAAATTTACATTTCAAAGTTTGTACAAAAACTATAAAAATTCTGAAAATTTTCACCAACATTTCAAAATTTTTTCGAAAGATTCTGATTAAAAAGTATGCAATTTTCGTGAAAATTGGCAGAATTTTTATAATTTTTGTCCAAAGATTGAAATCTGAATTTATTCGTTGTTTGTTGTATACCCAGCTTGACTTTTATAAAAAAATACTAAACATTAAATAAACAAAAGATAAATTGCAAAAACTGACCAAAACATCGCACCCCTATTATTTTGTGGACCACTGTGTGTATGTAAACATAAATATATATGTATTTACTGTATATAAATGGGGATTCGAAAGTGTTCACATGATTTCATGAAATGAGCTTACATATTTTTGTACCTATATTAAAAATAAGATTAAATAGTGACTTACCGAAAAAACGTGCGTTGTGACTTATTTGAATAAAAAAAAATGATAATACCTGAGAAGAAGTAATTTTTTTCGGTTATTTGAGCCAATGCATTGCAATGGGATATAAATTAAAATTCCGAATTGATTGGAATATAAAATAATTTTGGAAGAAAACTAAGATGGATTATTAAATAAACACACCAAGTCCGAATTCCAAACTTACTCTCAACACGATACCGATAATGAAGTGAAAAAAAAACATTTGAGGAATTCATTATTATAAATAATCAGTTTGCTTTAGGACGGTGATGGGCATCGCCTTGCCCGCGGGCAAAGCTGTTTTAAGTTTTTATACATTTTGTATTGATGCATGCAGAGTAAAAGCTCTCTCCGCTCATCGCTGCTTTTTTTTTTATGAGCACCCTTGCAGTCGCCCCAAATCTTTAATTTTAGAGATAGACTATCTTTATTTCTCAAAAAGGAGAGAGAAGACTGAAAGACTTAAAAATTGCCGAACTTGATATAAGTTGTTTTGTCAAATTCCCAGAGAATAATCCTCCGTCCCTCGTATTTCGATGAAAAAACTGCAACGAAAAGCACATCGTCTGCTAGGCACAACAACTTGGGAAACAGCATCTATTTTTTGTTTGTCGTCTTCGCGTTTGTTTATATTTGGGTTCGTTCATTGCAGCGCATTCTAATATGGAAGCCGAAAACTTACTAAAAATAATTAAGCAAATAAAACAAACTCAGCACTTTGGTGTGGAAGTTTATTCAGTGCATTTTTGAGTTAATTTTTTGCTCTTGCATTGGATCGTTTGGTTGGCCCTCGGTGTCTGAGCAGTGTACATACATACATATGTCTATATGCATGTGTGCAGGTACATATGTATGTATGTATGTATATGTGTGTGCAAGCACATATGAGCCAGCCGTTCAGTGCACAAATTGATTAACTCCATCAACAAAAAGTTGGGAGATGTGATCAAATAATGTACATTATCTTTTAAAATTTCATTTATATGATAAAATCAAATACAATAGTGTTGTTATAAATATTATGAACTAATGTATGTTGTATAAAGTTATTTTAACGTAATAAATTATGACTATACCAAGTGCTTTGACACCTAAATTTAAGATTTTTCAAAAACTGGAGTTAATCGATGTGTGCACTGAACGGCTCATATGTATGTACATATATGTGTGTATGTATGTATAAATATACCCAGTCGGACCTGAAACTTCACTACTAAAATCAGCATTTTGTAATGCTTTGACTTCGTCAAATGAGTCCGAAAGCAAATAAAAACTCTACAAAGCTCTCCAAACCAACAACAGCCACCTCATGCAAAATTGCCTGCTTAAGGAACCGTTCTTGCTGTGCTTCACATTCTGTATAAAAGCGAATTAAAGGCTTCATGTTTTAGGAACTACTTCTGAGTGGAAAAAGCACTGTGCTATACGTATATTTTGGAACCAATTAAGCCCGACTAGGGATTCACTACACATGCATACTAGAGATGCCAGATCGAAGTAAAAGAAATCGATTCGAATCGAAATAAAAAAAAATAAATAAAAAAAGTCGATGCAAGAAAAAATCGAGGAAAAATAAATCGATCTCCCAAGATACATACATTGTTCATAACGAATTCAATATATCCAGACTTATTCAAAAGTTATCAAGTTGCAATCCGTAAATACTTTTGAAAAAAAAAGAAACAAAAATGTGAGATAAGGTTTTTCTATGTTAAGACAGCGATATGATCATTCTACAGAAATTTCATAAATTCTTAAACCAAATTTCCGGCAGACATTAAAATGACAAAAAAATTATGCTATTTTAAAAATGCCATGCGGAA